AGAGGTGGGATCTTACCCTCTTCTCCTTGAGTCTGGGGTGAAAATGGTCCCTTCCTTTTCCCAAAGAAGGCAAAGGGAGATTTCTTAAGACTGAATGAAAAAGAAATACTCAGTCAGTCTGTAGCTATTCCAGCCCTGGCTGGAAGCATTATCAGGTGTTCTTTTCTTGTAGTTCATCTTATGAAGCAAAGGGCACTAATCTTCATTATTGAGAAAAAGGATATATGGTTTTTAACATATTTTAGGGAAGTGACAGTGATCCCAAATGCTACATTCAATGTTGTAGAGCAGGGGGAATTCATCCTTATCTAGCCCTGCCCAAATGACAGATTCATGAGCAAAACGAATAGTTGTTGCTGGTTTTAGCCACTTAGTTTTATTGCAGAGCAATATACAACTAGAACAAATGCTGATGTGGCAGCTCAGACCACATGTCTCGTCAGTGTGTACAGCTGCATCTGCCAAGCTAGGACCCCAGCCCTTGCTCACACCAGAGATGTGGTGGTGCTTCTTGGTGATAATGCAAGGATTTTGTCCCATTGTATGGTCTCAATTACAAGGCTTATTTTTGGGATATTAGGTGAAAATATATAAATAAATAGGTAGATAACAACAAAAAAGAAAGCAAAGCTTGTTTTTGAACCTCCAGATCAAGCTAAAGCAGAATCTGAAGCTCTCAGAAGTAGTGACCTTTGAGTTTTCAAAAAATAGATGGAGCACAGGATTTGGCGATGGCATATGTCTATAGGATCCTATTCTCTGATCAGTTAAAGGAGGGGCTACTGCTTCCCTAATATACATTAAAAGCCTCATATCCTGCTTTTCAGTAATAAAGGCAGATATGACCAGATTAGTGTGCTTTCTTCAAATTTGAACCAACTACAAGAACAGTACACCTGACACTGCTTCTATCCCTGTGAATGTTCCTACACTAGCCACTGTTCCAAAAGGCTGTGATGTCATGCAGAGCTTGGGTAGAGGCAGGAAAGTGGTGTCAGGTAATTTTCCATTAGTTTTCTCAAGAAGACATTAAACAAAATGATAATTTTGTTCAGCATAAAATCTTTTATATTCTCATACAGGAAAAAGAGCTTATGCTATGGTAAAATCTTAGCTGTGTACAGAATAATAAGTTTATATAACAAGTCAATGGAGAACATAGATACTTCATTGGAACTCATAGAAATATGTTAGTTACAAATTATGACAAGTCTCTACCATACGTAACAGGGTGTGCAGCTAAGGGAAATTATGAACTCTCAGAAATTTTTACTCCCAATCTCTATCTTTATATATCAACATGGCAAACATTATTATAAGACAGTGTTTCAAGAAAATTTTTTTTATTCATTTCTGAGAAAAAATTTATTAATGGATGTATTCCTATGAAGATAAATATTTATCATATCCTTTAAATATGACCTACAGTATTTTTAGTCAGATGTCACTAGAAAAATGGCATTTTTCAACTCATGCCATAAAACTCATTTACACCTGACATTGAGTACTCAATATAAGAGCAATACAGATATAGAACTATCACCTACATGTTATTTCTGATCTGAATTAGAGCTGCAGATTAAAATACAGATATTATTCCAGATGGAACATACTTTTTAGTGTTTAAAATCTATATTTTACATTACTTTTTCTGACTGGCATGTATTATATCTTCTCAAGCAGCGTTTTATCTCTCTTCATAGACAGAAGCTCAAAACAAAATCTTATTCAATGTAATTATTTCAAATATCCAACTATGTTCTAATTTCTTCTTAACTGTGGTCTACCTCATAAAACATATATTTGGCTTTAATTCTGGATGTTCATTGTATAAAAGTTATATGTTAAATTTCTGTGTCTATGAATATTATCAACTTATATTTTAGAAAATAATAGAAGTTAGAAAAATAATGCAAAACAAAATAAATAAAATTTCACCTGAAATGTTCTTAGCAAATTACTATTCTGACTTAATTTCAGGTAGTGACCTTGTTCTTATGGGTTTTATTTTCCTTATGACCAAAGAAAGAAGGTTGGGCTAGATCAGTGGTCCTCAGTGAGGGGTGATTTTTTTCTCTAAAGAGGACATTTGGCAATGTTTGGATACATTTCAATGGTCACAAATAGGGAGGATTCTACTGACATGAGTAGAGGTAAGGGATGCTGCCAAACATTCTAAAATGTACAGATTAGGCCACCCTCCCCACACCACAAAGAAGTATTGGCATAGAATGTCAATAGTGTTGCTTTCAGAAACCCTGGGCTAGATAAACTCTTAACAGTTTTAATAGTTTACAATTACTTTGTAGTTTAGTTATCTTAGGGCAACATTTTGGAAAACAAAAAACTAAGCCATAGATTTCACATGACCCTGGTAAGGAAAATGAAGTGCTTTTTTCTGGCAATTTCTTTTTTCAAAAAACTTTAATGACCATTAACACAATGGATGCGTGACAAGAGGAAATGAGCTTAGTCTCTGAAACTCTCTTCAATGTTCTTTTTTTTTTTTAAACTTTATAAACAAGAGAATATACAAAAATTGCAGAAACAATTCAAAACAGGCCATAAAATTCAAAAACTACTAGGAAGTTAAGAACAATTGAACGGTTTTGTACTCTCTATTCACTCTTCATAGAAGGGCAAATATTCTAACACGATCAAGAGTCACTAAGCTGAATATTCAGTTTTAGTGTCTTTGCCTTCTGGCAACATCTCAGAATATTTGAAATACTTGACAGATATTTTAAAAATGCCTAATTTCATCTGGGGAATCAAACCCCTACTACTCTCTTAAAATCAAATAGTAATATAATAATGGTAAAATAATTGATGTCTCTATGCTGTTACAGAGTGACAAGAACTGTCTAAAATCTTCACATATATTCAAGGATATGTATACAATTAGATCATTTAATCCTCATGTACTAGTATTTAATCCTCAAAACATGCCATTTCAGTTGGCAATACCTATTTTGTCTATGTGCATGGTTACATCTAAATAACTAATTTGGTCATTTATATTTTNCATTTCAATGGTCACAAATAGGGAGGATTCTACTGACATGAGTAGAGGTAAGGGATGCTGCTAAACTTTCTAAAATGTACAAATTAGGCCACCCTCCCCACACCACAAAGAAGTATTGGCATAGAATGTCAATAGTGTTGCTTTCAGAAACCCTGGGCTAGATAAACTCTTAACAGTTTTAATAGTTTACAATTACTTTGTAGTTTAGTTATCTTAGGGCAACATTTTGGAAAACAAAAAACTAAGCCATAGATTTCACATGACCCTGGTAAGGAAAATGAAGTGCTTTTTTCTGGCAATTTCTTTTTTCAAAAAACTTTAATGACCATTAACACAATGGATGCGTGACAAGAGGAAATGAGCTTAGTCTCTGAAACTCTCTTCAGTGTTCCTTTTTTTTTTAACTTTATAAACAAGAGAATATACTAAAATTGCAGAAACAATTCAAAATAGCCCATAAAATTCAAAAACTACTGGGAAGTTAAGAACAATTGAACGGTTTTGTACTCTCTATTCACTCTTCATAGAAGGGCAAATATTCTAACAAGATCAAGAGTCACTAAGCTGAATATTCAGTTTTAGTGTCTTTGCCTTCTGGCAACATCTCAGAATATTTGAAATACTTCACAGATATTTTAAAAATGCCTAATTTCATCTTGGGAATCAACCCCCTACTACTCTCTTAAAATCAAATAGTAATATAATAATGGTAAAATAATTGATGTCTCTATGCTGTTACAGAGTGACAAGCACTGTCTAAAATCTTCACATATATTCAAGGATATGTATATAATTAGATCATTTAATCCTCATGTACTAGTATTTAATCCTCAAAACATGCCATTTCAGTTGGCAATACCTATTTTGTCTATGTGCATGGTTACATCTAAATAACTAATTTGGTCATTTATATTTTCATAATTTCTACAAAATGCACAATTTCATATATTCACATGCACACCATTTATTGCTTCAACTCTATCAAAATAAAATAAAAAGTAAATGAAGACTGAAGGATCAAAAGCAACCACAGAAAAATATCTATGCTAATGAATAAACTGATCCTAGAGAAAGAACTGCTTATACTTCAACTGAGTTGTGTTGTAAATATACAGAATGAAATTATCAGAGCAATTGTTTACCTCTTCTAGGAGACAGAACCTCAAACACTATGTCGATAACATACATAAGAGTATTTAGTAATTTATACTAATAAATTAGATTATAACCTTGGTTGTATTCACAAACTTGCTTGGTTTTCACAAGAACCCACTATGAATGGAAGAGTAGTGGACCCTTGCAGCAATCAACTGAGTCTAAAGAGAGACAATATTATATTACTTCACTCCTGTCTAACGCTAGAGAGAGTATTGCTATGTGTCTTCTATTTGATTTCCTCATAGCCAGTGAAATCACCACTACTGTCACTACCACCCATTACAGGTAATGTAAAAATTCTCTTTTAATAAATATAAGTGCAGAGTACACTTTTCAAAACAAAGAAGGCTAGATTTATCCATTCATTCATCCATCTATTAATCTATGCATCCCTCCATCCATCCATCCCTTAAACACACATGTAAGAAGAGCATGCAATATAACACCTATATATGTAGGTGTTAGAAAAAGATGCCATATATATTTTACTTGCTGCCAAGGATCTTCTAATAGGGTTGACTGAGAAGTCTACATATACCTTCAATACAACCTATAAAGAATATAATTCATCAATGTACACAATATTTTGGGAACACTAATTGCTGTGTAATTAATATTATTACAAATATTAATCCAATAATGTTTTGCAGAGTAAAAGAATTATGGAAAAAATATTTTAGAAGAGAACATGAAACATTTAAATATATCAAAGTCTAAAAGTTGTCTTTAATTCTGTAAAATGATGATATAGTTAAATGAGTTGACACAAAGGTGATCCTGGCATAGTTGCTGTAAATGAGATGATCAAAATTAGTATTCATTTGAAAATCCAGTTTCTTTCTAATAGCTTGTTGAGTGCTTTCTTTACATCCTTGTTTCTGAAGCTGTAGATTATTGGGTTGAACGTGGGAAAGACAACAGTATAAAACAATGCAACCACCTTATCAGTGTCAGGAGAGTAATTGGTGGTGGGACGTAAGTATGTAAACAGGAGTGCTCCATAAAATAAGGTGACTCCTGTGAGATGGGAAGCACAGGTGGAGAATGTTTTGCTTCTGCCACCTGAGGACTTGATGCTCAAAACAGTGGTGAGGATGCAGATGTAAGAGATAAATATGACCACAAAAGTGCTGGACTGGATGAGGCCACACAAGGCAAAGAGCAGAAGCTCATTGATATGGGAATCTGCACATGATAAAGCCAGGAGAGGCGGGATGTCACAGAAAAAATGGTTGACAACATTGGAGCCACAAAAGGGCAGCCTGAATGTGAAGCACACGTGGACCATTGAGGTCATGGTTCCCCCTAAGTATGCCAACACAATGAACCAGTTACATACTCTCCTAGACATCAGTGTGGAGTAGAGCAATGGTTTACAGATGGCTGCATAGCGGTCATATGCCATTGCTGCCAGGATAATGCACTCGGCATCAGCAAAACAAGCAAAGAAAAACATTTGCAGTACACAGCCATAGAAGGAGATGCTCTTCCTGAAGGCTGTGAAATTTTCCAGCATTTTAGGAGTGATTGCTATAGAATAACTGATGTCTAAGAAAGACAAGTTGCTAAGCAAATAGTACATGGGGGTTTGAAGGCTTGAATT